CCCCAAAACCCCAAAACCCCAAAACCCCAAAACCCCAAAACCCCTTGGATCCCGATTTTATTGAATATTCAGCATGCCGCATTCGCTAGTTTAGAGACTCCTTGAGTTCGTCTTCGAGTTCGTGTTCGGAGTGAAGCTCTTTGACGATGTCAATCCCTCCGATGAACTTGCCTTTGACATAGAGCTGAGGATATGTCTGCCAGTTGGAGTACTTCTTGAGACCCTGCCTGACTTCGTCGTCTTCCAGAATGTTGAAGTATCCATATTGGTAGTCGTACTCACTCATGATGCTAATGAGTGTCCTGCTGAACCCGCACTCTGGAGCTTGAGGCGTTCCCTTGATGAACATGATGATCGGACTTGAGTCTATAAGCATGAGCATTCAAGCCAACCACTGGCTAATCTCCAAATATTGAAGATTACGGTAAAGCATCAAACTTACTGATGAGCTTCTTGAGCTTGTCGTTGAGAGAAAGCTGTCTGGAGCCTTCAGGGATCACTGCTTCAAGAGACCCTTCTTCAATGACTTTCTGTAGTGCTTCTCCGTTTCCGAAAGGCTTCTGTTTCAAGAAAATGTAGGGCGCAGTGCTGACTCCATGAACTGTGTTGATGTGGTCTTTGACTTCTTGTTCCAAAGTAGAGTAGTCCACAGATACATATTTGACGCTGTTGTCTTTAAGTTTCTGAAGCACAGATTTGCTTTCTTCTGTCACTGGGTGGTCGTTGGTACCATCTAGGAGTACTACAACATCGAAAGAGGAGAGCATCTGGTCAAATATTTCGACTGGAGGAAGTTTCTTGCACTCTTTGGGAATCAAATCCATAAATTCATCTCCTTCAACAAGCTCATCTATGATATCAATTCCTCCAACAAATTCCTTGTTGATGTAAACTTGAGGATAGGTCTTCCAATTGGAATAAATCTTAAGCCATTGTCTGATTCTTTGATCTTCCAGAATATTAAAATGCTTAAAGGTGACACCTAGTTTATTTGTATGAGCAAGGAGTCTCCTAGTAAACTTACACTTTGGTTCAGTTGGAGTACCTTTAATAAAGCATACCATCGGTGCTGAACTTAGAATAACATCGATTTCTTGGAACACTCTTTCCTTCTCATTCTCAAGAACAGTTTTATAATACTCATTTTGCTTTTCTATTTCTTCATTTAAAGCATCGGGGCTTGGATTGACATATTTATCTACTTCTACTTTATGAGGATGGAATACTAAAACTGTCGGAACAGTGTCAATCTCATGTTTCTCAACCAAATCAGAAAATTTGTCAGAATCTATCCAAGTAAAGACAAGATGTTGGAAAATTTTAGCCATTTCTGGAACCACACTTTCCTTAATAATCTTGCATGGCTCATACCACTCAGCAGTGATTAGTACAACTAGGCCTTTGTCAGCTGTGCTTTTCTTAAGTTTATTAAATTCTTCTAGATTTGTTAATTCAGTGAAGTTTTCACTAGAGTCCATATTCAAAAGTAAATATCAATTTATTAATGCAAAAAAGGGGTTTTGGGGTTTTGGGGTTTTGGGGTGATCG